CTGCGTTGATCCAGAGGCTACGGTTGAGGAGCTTCGGAGTGGTGGTGGTGGTGGTGGTGGTGGCGGCGTCGTCTACGGCTGCTGCTCCGGCCGGCTTCTGGGCGTCTGTTGTGGGGACGTGGATGCCGACGTTCACGGCGACGGAGTGGGTCTTTGCTGCTTCCTGGAGACCGAGGACGAAGGGGGACTGGGATTGCGGTTGGGCTAGGGAGAGGGACTCTTGCGGGCTTGAGGCGATGTAATCTGCGGCTTCGGGGAGGAAGAGGACCTAGGAAACGCGGTGAGCGGTGTTGTTGGTGTTGTTGGTGGTATAGTGGGGTGGAAGGGAGGCAGACATGAAGCCATCTTTGTGCTTCAAGCTGCATTTGCATTGCAGGTCTCTCTCATCTGCAGCCAGCAGGATGGGTTTGCGGTGAGAGGTGTTTTGATATCGACGCCCCCTTTTTCTTACGGATGGATTGAATGGAACGAACGTACTTTGGCACCACCGACAGCGGCCTTGGCGACGAGCCTCACGCACTGCTCTAGGTTGTGGGACAGAGAGGCCGTGGAACAGATTTGACCGACAGCCTGTTCACGCCGAAAGGAAGAGGGGACCGCATCAGTAAGTCATCTGCAGAGACACGTGGTCTTTTTTGGGGTGTGTGTTGGGCAGCCATACCGCGATCGCCATGTTGAAGATACGGTGAGATGGAACTTTTTTGGAGAGATGCGTTTGAATGAGGGATACTAAGGTAATGTAGGCGCGGGAATCCTGGGTAGGGGTTGGTCGTGTGGACTGATCCTGGAGAGAGGGAGGGAGAAAGTATGCTGGCCACGTGGCAGAGCAGATGAAGCCGTTCGGATGATTTTCTTGAGGATTTGTAGGGTGTGAAGGGTTGGCGATCTTTCATGCAAGCTATAATGGTTTTTTGGATGGTTGGACGTCGGGTGGGAGTGGGAGAGGAGGCATCATTCGTTGCTTTGACGGGTGGGCCTGCTAACGCTTACCTTATTTGATGGTGGGATGCAGCGGGGTAAGGTCAGGTAAGGTAAGGAAAGGAAAGATGCTGCCATATCCAAGATATCTCCCGTCATTTTCATGTTTGTTGATCTGATATACTACTCGCTGTTGATTCGACGTTGGCGGAGAGCCTCCATCACAAATATGCCTTTTCATTATGTGAGGACAATGATCTCTCCGAATGACGATTTCCATTTTCTCTAAACATTTCGAAACACTCCAAGGCAAGCATATATGCCTCTATTGCTTAGTTGAGAAAGACTGAACTTAGACATACATTGTGCACCCAATGTGAATAATGAAGACTGAAAATGTCTAGCTGATTGAATCATGTCCTTAAGGTGAGAATGAGTCCTCAAGTGAGTTCTCAAAACTTTTGGGCTCACCGAAAGCCTCAAGGTGTGAACCCACTTGTGAGCTGTGGCCAATGGACATGGGGACGTTTGGCTACCTCACTACCTGCATGTACCCTTTTAGCCCACCACCTTATCGGCTCATTCTTCTAACTGAATTTTTCGCGGGGCAACAGCACCAGATCGCGGGGCAAATTCAACGAGACTCACCTACTCACGGTACAACAGACAGCCTTTACTGAAAGCTGCCTATGTCTTATTTGATGCTTTTTTGGCTTCATATGATAAACTCCTCTCACGAAGCATCAAATTTGCCGTGAAGCGGACCCCTACGTGAAGCGGAAGCCAGAGCAGAATAAGTGTCTCAGCCATGGAGGAGGATCGGGCGCAAACCGACTTGGGCATTGCCGCCGATATTGAAGAGGCTCATCGCCAAGAGGAGGCTGCGGCTCAGCCAGTCTTGAAGCAACCAAAGAAGCGCTTCGTTGGAAGAAGAACAGCAGCCGAGACCGCGGCCAAGAATGGAGGCCAGAACGGGTCCATCGAGGACAGCAAGTCGATTCAAGGTGAGGACGCACACGACATGTTACATGAGAAAGAACAGCACATGCTCATTCTTATCTCATAGTCGCACAACCCAGAAGAGGCCCACGCCTCCTAAACCAAGTACCCCCCGAGATCCTCAATGATCCGGCACTCAAGTCCGCCATCTCCATCCTCCCCTCAAACTACAGCTTCGAGGTTCCCAAAACCATCCACCGCATCCGCTCCTCGGGCGCCAAGAAGGTCGCCCTGCAGATGCCCGAGGGTCTCCTCCTCTTCGCAACCACCATCTCCGACATCCTCACCGAGTTCTGCCCCGGCATCGAAACCCTCATCATGGGCGATGTCACCTACGGCGCCTGCTGCATCGACGACTACACCGCCCGCGCCATGGGCTGCGACCTCCTCGTTCACTACGCCCACAGCTGCCTCATCCCCGTCGACGTGACAAAGATCAAGACCCTCTACGTCTTTGTCGACATCAGCATCGACACCTCCCACCTCTTAGCCTCGCTCGAGCGCAACTTCGCCTCGGGCAAGACCGTCGCCGTCGTCGGCACCATCCAGTTCAACGCCACCATCCACGGCGTGCGCGGCACCCTCGAAAAGGCCGGCTTCAAGGTCCTCGTCCCCCAGATCGCGCCGTTGAGCAAGGGCGAGATCCTCGGCTGCACGAGCCCGCAGCTCCACGACGACGACAAGGTCGACATGATCCTCTACCTCGGCGACGGCCGCTTCCACCTCGAGAGCATCATGATCCACAACCCGAGCATCCCGGCCTACCGCTACGACCCGTACTCGCGCAAGCTGACGCGCGAGACGTACGGCCACGACGAGATGCAGGACCTGCGCCGGACCGCCATCCGGACGGCCAAGACGGCCAAGAAGTGGGGTCTCATCCTGGGCTCGCTCGGCCGCCAGGGGAACCCGCACACCATGGGCCTCATCGAGAAGCGGCTCAAGGATCGCGGCATCCCGTGGGTGAACCTGCTGCTGAGTGAGATCTTCCCGGGCAAGCTGGCCATGATGAGCGACGTCGAGTGCTGGGTGCAGGTCGCGTGCCCGCGGTTGAGCATCGACTGGGGCTACGCCTTCCCGCGGCCGCTGTTGACGCCGTACGAGGCGTTGGTCGCGCTAGAGGTGCGCGATGATTGGGGCAAAGGGGTGTATCCCATGGACTACTATGGAAAGGACGGTCTCGGACGCGTGAAGCCTGGCCAGCTTGAGGCATCGGCATAACCATCTTGAGGGAAAAGCCGAGGGGCAAAAGCCAATAACAAAAGTTTATGATTTACTTAGGAGCACGCAATGATACCTCTTTTCGATGTAATCTGGAGAGCGTTCCAGACACGACTATGGGCATGACATCTTTTTGATTTTCTGCCATATTGACCGACAAAATCGGCCAGTTTTTTTTTTTTCAGGAGGGGGGTTCTGTTGGACGAGAATTCTCCCTTTTTAAAATGACCTCGAATATCATTGGGGGTATCTTATGAGGTGTCTGAGATAAGAGAATGATTCAATTCGGCTCTCTTTCTACTCTTTACTTCGACGCAGAGCATGCAGGCGTGAGAGCTCAAGTTCATCTGACGTAAAGTTCCTCATAGATGCGCCTTACCCCTTTGAAAAGTTGTGTTCACCGGAAATCAAGAGAGTTCATGCCTAGCGATTAACAAAATTGTCTTCGAACGCGTTGATTGACATTTTACCCATCATCACGTGCTGACAAGACTGAGACGTCGAATAAACATCACAAAGAGGAACGATGACCAATTTATAATTTCTGAGACCTGCTGCATCTAGTTAATTCACTCATTCGTATTGCTGCTGGTACAGTTGGCAGCTGATTCAACGCTAAATACCTCGCTACGCCGCCTGCATGCGGTGCTGGTTAGGGGATCTCAACCGTGTCTTTTGTCCACTTCCTTTCGAGAACACGAGTCTTCAGCGGTAGGGCTGAAGCTGCCAACCAAATCCGTACTTCCTACAAAGACTCTGATCATTTCGTTGGTCGTTCATCCTTGGCGAACGGCTCCCTATATCCAAACCCGGTCAGAAATCTTGCCACTCAAAATCATCACTGTGCCCCAAAAGTTCCAGGGGTGACATCGTTGGCGAGTTCGTACTTATCCCTGGAAGTCCCGCACCGACACTCTTCTCCTTCACCTTATTTGCGATAAGGTGAGGCCGGAGCGCCAGCACTCTCCAGGATACCACCGCACCCTTCCGAATAGGGTCATTTGCACCGGTTACGTTGGTGCGCAACGTCGCCAAGAACAGGCATGTCTTGAAAGCGTTCCGCTGATTGGTTCGTTCTAGTCGGTTGGTTTAGGGAACTTCCTGTTAGAACTACTACACTGGCGTTGCTTAGCCTCAATCTTCAACTCCCGACTCACATCATACAACTCGCTGCCTAAGTCAAATGAGGGGAAGGAACTAGAAGAGGAACACATCTCGTTATCAATCGGCTTCTGTCGTCGAGGAGCGAGATTGCCCACGTCGTCTTCTCTTTTCCGCACATAATAGGATGGCCCGCAAAGGCAGTCGCAAGACAAGGACCGGCTGTATTACCTGCAAGTAGGCACCCCGCATAGATTCATTTACCCCCCCCCCCACCCCCTTCCATACGGCAAGGTTTGCATTCCTTTCTAACAATCACCACCACCGGAGCAGGGTCCGAAAAGTCAAGTGTGACGAGGCCAAGCCAGAGTGTATACGGTGCACCAGCACCGGCCGCACATGCGATGGCTACGCGGACCCGGCCCAAGCCGCCGCGTTGGACCAGCCCCGGCTGCTCAGAGCCCAGAGTATGTTCCCGAGCATCACCAGGCAGGAGAGCAGGGCGCTGCAGTTCTTCTGCGAAATGGTCGGGCCGAACCTGCCCGGCGCCACCGACCCTTACTTCTGGACGCATCTCGTCATGCAATTCAGCCGCTACGAGCCTGCGGTGAGGCATTCCATCGTCGCAATCAGCTCGTTGTACGAGGGCGTCATCCGGGTCCAGGATAGCCCCTTTGACGTGGGCAGCGAGCAGATCCAGGATAACGCCCTCGCTTTGCGTCACTACAATGCCGCAATCAACCAATTGACCGTCATGGAGAACCAGGGGCTGGTGTTGTTGGTGTGCCTCCTCTTCATTTGTATAGAATTCTTACAGTCCAACCGGGAGACTGCACTTCGTCACTGCGCTCACGGCACTGCCATACTCGCCAGCTCCGACTCTACCTCGTACAAGTGGGTGAGGCAATACCTCACGCCATTGTTTCGAAGATTGAGCGCGTTGCCCTTCTTCTTTGGGAGCGGACCATCAGACATGCTCGATCTAAGCATTTCACAATACTCGATACCGGACTTTTTCAATACCTTTTCCGAAGCCGAAGCCATGATTGATGACGTTTTCAACCAAGCGTTGCAAATTATCCGCCGCGGTGACACATATCGCGTAGGACAAAAGAAAGACGTTCCAGTACCATCGGAACTCCTAGAGGAACAGGACATAGTCTTAAACCAACTAAATCGGTGGTACGGCATGTTCACAGACCTCGAAGCCAGGCGGGGGCAAACGACATTCAAAATCCCGGGCTTCGCGCGCGCATTTGCTCTAGCGAGATACCGGATCTGTCTGATCTGGTTGAACAACGCCTTCGTCCGTTCCGAGATGGGCTACGATGATTTCCTTGACGAGTTTCGCAAAGTCGTCGAGGAGACAGCGCAAACCGCCGCCGAACAAAACAGCACAGAGATCAAAACGGCCCCCGCATTCGAAATGGGCTTTATCGTGCCGCTCTTCTTCTGTGCACAGCGGTGTAGGGACCTGGGTTGCCGATTAGAGGCCCTGCGTCTTCTCAAGCTTCTCGCCGCACCACAAGAGAACTTATGGGATAGGGACGGCATGTGCGCCCTGGCTCGAAGAATCATCGAGATAGAACACGGGGTGGAGCTGAATATGGACGGTCGACTTACTTCAGGGGTACATCCTAAATACCCGGGCCTGCCACCGGAGACGACGCGGATACAACAATTCAATGTTGAATTCGTAAGTGGACGACAAAAGAACTTTTATGGGCATGAAGTACGCGGCTTCAAGGCTCTTTTATTTATGCGGAGGGCGAGCGGCGAGATATATCTTCGGCCCGAGACCTTATTTGAGGAGGACCCTCAACTGTCTGACGATGTGAGTCAGGAGCACATAGGGGCAGTCCTTTTCCCATAGGCTGCAATAGTATTACATTAATGAACCAAATTAGAAATGCAAACAATAGTCTACTGGCCCGCGGTGAAGAGCTCTCTGACATGATGACAAGGACGACTTGCGCTTGAGAACACGAAACTGGTCCTGCCAGCTTGTAGTTTGGGCAAACCCAAGGTGATCGGAGGCAGTTGACCCAGGCCGAGTGATAAGAACATCTGGGAAGCATTGGCTCAATTGAGATGTGTTTCCATTTGATATTCTTTGCATCATATTAGACATGGCATTCTCTGTTCTAGAGCTGGATAGGCTTGTCATGACGGCGGATTTAGCTATTGCTGATGCAAAAAACGCTATGCTAAGTGCGTATGCAAACTTCATCTTGCCCTTACTACTTTGCTTCAGCTAGACTTTCGACAAAGACACTTGGTACAAAGCTCAGTCAACAGCCTTTCACTCATAACTGATCAAAAGAACTTCTTGCTCTTGCCAGACCCCAAGGACCGCCTTCTCCTGCAGGGAGGCGCAGTCGTGTTCTTCAATGCCTCGAGAACGCCATCATAGGCCGGGTGCTTGCTGAAGTCCTCGAACCAGAGAAGCGCAGCACCCTCACCCGGGAAGACGGCGGGAACCCAGCTGAAGGGGTCGTAGAAATCCCAGATCGTGATGCCAATGCAAGCTGCTACTTGAAGACAGGCACTGGTAGACTGTAGCCGGGTGAATTAGCGTCTTTCGATGCATCCCAAGATGGGGGCGAACTGGGTACACCTACGTTCTTGTACGCCTCCTTCTGCCATGCCAAGTTTGTCTCATTGACCGGGAGCTCGATACGGACATCTAGCTCTGTGAGGGCAACCTCGACTCCGAGCTCGGCGTAGCTGCGAATGACCTCGACTTGCTGGTCCAGGCTAGGCGCCCTATCAGCTACGAGGTGAGCTTGCATGCCAATGCCGTCAACCTTGATGCCGTCGTCCTGGAGCAGCTTCACGATGCGCTTGGCGCCCTCGCTCTTGGGACCGACCGACTCGAGGTTGTAGTCGTTGTAGTACAGCTTCGCCGCCGGGTCGACCTCGGCCGCGGTGCGGAAGGCCAACTTGAGGTACTCCTCGCCGAGAACGTTGTAGAACACGGACTCGCGGTACGTGCCGTCCTCGTTGAGGGCTTCATTGACGACATCCCAGGCGTAGCACTTGCCTTTGTAGTGGCCAGCTACCTCGTGGATGTGTCTGATGATCACCTCGGTGAGCTCCTCGGGCGTCCATGTTGTACTCTCAACCCAGGGGGCGAGTTGGCTGTGCCAGACGAGGGCGTGGCAGCGGAGGATCTGGCCGTTCTCTTCGGCGATGGAGGTCACGATATCACCCTCTGTGAAGTTGAAAACACCCGGCGAGGGCTCGGTGAAAAGCCACTGAGTGAGACGTTAGCTCGAAGCTACAACTCCTGGTTTACTTGTTCAACACCAACCTTTTGGCCATTAGTCGGAGTGGTTTGGCCAAACTCGTTGATATCATCAAGGATGGCGTCGTACTGCTCGTAGGATGCCTCCAGACCAGCGCGCTCGCGCTGTCCCGGGGAGTCCGTGGCAGCACCAAAGTACAGCAAGCCCGCTTTCTTCGCGTAGTAGTCAAGCTGGGCCGAGGCGAGGGGCAAGGACGCCGCCAAGAGGGCAACGGTGAGGGATTGAATATGCATCTTGACCGTCTGGTAACAATGAAACTCGGGCAAGAAACGAGAGGACCTATCTTAGAAGACCGAGGCCGGCGTGGACGAGAATAAGAGATCAACATGAACACTCCATAACGAGGGCGACGCAATTCATTTATGCAAGATCCGGCCCGCGATGCGACTCCGTTTCCCCATGATTACCCCAATTTTCCAGGCGGACGGACGAGAGCAATCTCCAGATCATCCAATGCAACAGCGCCGAGCTAGCAAGGACTGCCGTCGTGGGGTGACGTCCTCTACTGCGTAAGGGATAGGAACCCGACCTAAACATGTACCGGCGCCTTGGTCCCAAGACCTGCAAGCCTAGGTGACACGGCGTTGGTTGGAAGAGCGAAGGGCTTCGGAATTCAAAGGTCAAGTCCCGTGATGTGGGGACCGGGACAAGTGCGCTGGAATAGGAGCTCATTCCGGTGAGAACCAAAGACGCGATGGTCGCGGTTGGATAGGACCAATGGTGCTCTCAATTAGCGGCTTTCAGGGATCGTCCCTGGCATGACCTTCTCCATCTTTTGCTGGGGCGGAATGGGGAACCGTTCAATCAGGCTGTCTGCGGTTAAATTAGAGTTGGATTGTGAGCATTTATCCTAATAGCCTCCTCGGGTAGTCTCCAGAGTCCCCCTCACGGCCGGTGCGGAGGCGTGGAGAATCCCTGACTGTCAGAACAACTTCGACGTTTACGATTATTGTCGAGACCGCTATTAAGTGCATTTATTTGGTCGAGCATTCGGCGAGAGCCGAGGCTACCCATAACAGTCTTTGACGGTGATGGTGCCACACTGGGATGAGGTTGTTTGGAACGCATATTTGTTCGAAATTGAACAGGTCATCGATATGAAGGAAGCTCATCAACAGTGACGAAGACAATGGGCATAGTAACACTAGTGTTGATACCCACTTCAGTCAGCCTATTTTGTATGACCTGCGAGGTCCCTCATAAGGGAACTCAACCAGAGTGAAGTCGACAGGGCGACTGAGCCTGCTGCGGAATGCTTCCGGAAGCGAATAGCGAGACCAATAAAATCATGCCTTGGGATAAATTGTCTGTTTGCTGACGTATGTTGCGTGGTGTTTGTTACGACGGGCCGTCGTCTCTCAATAACCTCGCGACAGCGAATTACATCTTGTTCGGTTGTTGGTCTCATTCCGAAATCCTTCATCGCCTCATTGCTTGATGACACATGGACTTTTGGCTATGCGATTATGAAGGAGAGATGCCTAAATGCAGGTAAGGTCTCATTCTTCCGACTAAAATGCCATCAAAAGGACCCGTGTTGACTTGCATCTTTAGAGGAGACCAACAAGCACGCAGCCTAATGGGTGAGACGGAGTAACGGCCACGTAATTCGGAGACTCGTGAACCAAGCGCCAGTTGCCTGTTGCCGCTTATCCAACAAGCAAATAAATGGCGCTGATTGTGAGAATAACTACCATGAAGCACCGCCAATAAAGGTACTTGGGCAGAACAAGTCGACAGGTTGGGGTCATTGATGCTACTCGAGCCAACCTGACTTACTCAAACAACCAGTGATATCTGCGGCACTCGAATGATGTTGCTCAGAAAGATGCAACTGCCGTGGATCCGGGGAAGCTGCTGCTTGTCTCATTCGTCGCTTTGACCGCAGCCTACCAATGCCTCGGACCGCAGCTGTATGATTTGTGAGCCGTAGTTGTCATTCTGTCGCAAAGACATACGAGCTTATGAGATGTGCTCCTGGTGATGACACTGACCAAGATGTAGCGGGGATGAGTGTGAGGTTGACAATCTTTGCTGAGAGTTTCTTGAGTCAAAGGTCATCTGCCACAGGCTGACCAAGGTGGCATACCAGTCTTACTTTTGATGACCGGCTATGATGAAACCGGAGCCGCCGCAATGAACAAGTGTCACGGAAAATATAGACGGCAAGGGATCTGCCGTGCCAGTCATAGTTGTTCTGGTCGGGAATCGTGGCAACACGACGAGATGAACGCCGCAATCGCTATCGTCCTTAGCAACCCTTCGCCCTCTCGCCACAACATGCCAAGCCTCGTCGGTGTGGTGTGATTCTTCAAAGATCGCCCCGGCGGCCTCGAACCGTCGATAATGAAGACTTCTCCTATGTGTTTTCCGTACCAACGGGCTCTGGCCGGTTCCCAAACATGATCTTGTACTTGACGATCTCCGCAATCTCAAGCTCCTCCTCAGACTCTCCTTCACCGCCAGTGGGGGCATCTCCCTTTCGCCGGATGATAGCCATGGCCTTCGGCAGTTTCTTGACCTCGCCCTGCAGTCTCTGATGCTGGCCGACGTAGAGGAAGACGCGCTTCATCCAGGCCGTGCTGCCCTCTTCCTGCGTTTCGGGATGATAGTCAGGGAATATCACTTTGCCAATGGAAATCTCCGGCTCCTTTTTGCTGGCATACTCGTCGGGGTTGAAGTGAGGCACGTTGACAGTTCCTTGCATCTCAAGCAGCGCAAGTCCAGAGGGTGTCTTGATGAGCGGGGGCAATGGGCTTTCTGAAGCTGAGGAGCCCTTCTTAGGAGGATGGATTTTGACTGATGACATTGTCGCGAGTAGGTGTCATGTGTTACTTTATTTGGCGATATACGTGATAAGAACCGTGATTGAGAGGTTGACTGAGAGGCAGGAATGATGTTTGTTCGTGATATGAGGTACGGAAGTCTTGATCGCGAATGTGAAGCGGGACCCTTTGACAGTGGAGTCGCGCATCTGAACGTGAGGTGGAAAACGGCGGCTGTAGTGGGGGTACGTATCCCGGCCCGTGTACCTTCCTAAACGGGACAGACACGTGACCCGGGGCTGTTTAAGCACGGTCCATGGAAAAACTCACTGATGGAACTTCCAGCGGCCTGTGATTGGCTCAGGGATTTTTTTTTCGCAGCAGGGCTCTAGCGACGCACACATTCTCGAAAATTCAAGAGTAACTTTCCGCTTTTCCTCCTTCCCACTGAACAATCCACGCCCAACGCCCAGCCGCAGTCGACAACACTTGCACCACCCAACGCCGGCAAGATGAAGGTACGATAACATCATGTCCCGACAGACGAGAGCGATGTAATCGAACGCGATGGAACTGCCATGTCAACGAAGTCGAGTTCGAAATCGCTGGCGGTCTGATCATCGTCCCGAATATTTGGAAATATTTGGAGGGGGTGGAAAAGTCCGGTTCAAGGTTGCTGACATTCTTTTCATGACAACAGTTGAACATCTCCTACCCTGCCAATGGCAGCCAGAAGCTCATCGACATTGAGGATGAGCGCAAGCTCCGCGTCTTCATGGAGAAGCGCATGGGCGCTGAGGTCCCCGGTGACTCCGTCGGCGACGAGTTCAAGGGCTACATCTTCCGCATCACCGGAGGCAACGACAAGCAGGGTTTCCCGATGAAGCAGGGTGTCATGCACCCTACCCGTGTCCGCCTCCTCCTCTCCGAGGGACACTCCTGCTACCGCCCCCGCCGCACCGGTGAGCGCAAGCGCAAGTCCGTCCGTGGCTGCATTGTCGGCATGGACCTCTCCGTCCTCGCCCTCTCCATCGTCAAGCAGGGCGAGGCCGACATCCCCGGCCTCACCGACGTCGTCCACCCCAAGCGCCTCGGCCCCAAGCGCGCCACCAAGATCCGCAAGTTCTTCAGCCTCACCAAGGATGACGATGTATGTGTGCTCCCTGTTGCGGTCCACCCTTCCAACAGCCACTTCGTCATCGCCTACCTGGTTCTGCGGCGGAGGGTCGAGCAGACCAGGTAGAGTGTGAGAGACGGGACCGTGTTTCCCCTCTGCCTTCGAACTTCTTCTTTCAGCAGACGATATCTGTTGAATGCCTTGAGAAAGTGCGCCAGATACATCAGAGAGCGAGAGAGACAAGAGAGAAGGGAGAGGTGGGAACATGTGTCGGGCTTTAATCCCAATGCTATACATATCACAGAAACCCTTTGCAAGTGGCTAACGAGGCATTCTTTGCTGCAACTTATAGGTCCGCAAGTACGTCATCCGCCGCGAGGTCCAGCCCAAGGGCGAGGGCAAGAAGCCTTACACCAAGGCTCCCAAGATCCAGAGACTCGTCACTCCCCAGCGTCTCCAGCACAAGCGCCACCGCATTGCCCTCAAGCGCCGCCAGGCCGAGAAGGTCAAGGACGAGGCCGTACGTTTACCCATCATACATCTCATATTGATGCTTCAAGTCATACTAACCCCTTACCTAGAACGAATACGCTCAGGTCCTCGCCAAGCGTGTTGCCGAGCGCAAGACCGAGAAGGCCGAGCTCCGCAAGCGCCGCGCCTCTTCCATGCGCAAGTAAGCTCGTCGTCATGGCGGCGGTGTTGCGTTGGGAATCATGAAAAAAGTGAAAGATTACCCGGGTCTTCTGGTTTTCTTGCATTGGCGTGGAAAAAGGGCAATGGGGCACTGGGAACTCATGTCATGAAACAAGTTTTCGGTCAACATCATGAATGTAATAGGGCATTCAAAAAATGGAAATGCACATCCTTTGACACGCGAAATACCACCAGCAATTGTTTTATGATTAAAAAAAAGATTGGATACTGTACCTTGCTCGTGCCAAATGTCCACCTCCCAAACAGCCTATCGTAACCGCAGTATCCATGACAAGGCTGGAACACTTTGCTGGAGTATGAGCCTCTCGAGGCAGGAGAACGTTCTATCAGCCCTGCCCCGCACAAGATTCTGGGGTTGGACTGCCTAGATTTTCCTTCTCTTCCAGAGCGGGGGCCATCAACTTTCGGTCTGGAGCTGGCATCGAGGCAGACCCACCGGACCCTGTAAATCTTTGGCGCAGCCGACTGACCGTATAGCAAAGGGATGCCACGCCACATGCATTCACGTATACTCGTACGCAACTTCATAGAGAACTCATTTCGTTCTTCTCTTTTGAATCTGCCGGTTGACCCGAACTTTTCTCTAAACGCAGGTCTTCCTGCCGGTAAAAAAGGAAACCCGCAAAATGCCCATTTGTACCGTACGCCCACCTTATTTAGAAAAGGAAACCCTCCCCCAATATGCCATGGAAAAGCCCTCGAGGCTATTGCTGCTGCTGCTTCTGCTGCCGCTAGAATTGCTACTTAAAACTCTTAAAACCCTCCATCACGGAACCCCTTTCTAGACGGGAACGTGGTTGAAGAGGTAGCTGACGCTCTCGCCGTTATGGGTGCGGCGGATGGCCTCGCCCAGGACCTGGCTGATGTCGATGACACGCAGCTTGGGGCAGCGCTCAATCTTGTCGCCGAGGGGCACCGTGTTGGTGACGACGATGCGAGACAGGCAGCTCTTGTTGAGCGTCTCGACGGCATTACCGCTGAGGACGCCATGGGTGACGATGGCGATGACTATTTTATTGTTCACTGTTAGTGTGTGGCTCTTCACTTATTGATACTACGGATGACGTACCTTCACGCGCACCGCCGGTCTCGAGAGTCTCCGCAGCCCTGTTGCATCTGTTAGTGGTGCCACAACATCATCTCACGAGGGTTATACGAACTTGGCGAGGGTGCCACAAGTGTCAGCCATGTCATCGACCAGGATCGCAATCTTGTCAGTGACGTCTCCGACGAGGATCATGCGGCCGACAACGTTGGGGCGCGGGCGCTCCTTGTGGATGAGGGCGAAGCCGGTCTCCAGGCGATCGGCAATACCGGTGGCACGCTTGGCGCCGCCCGCGTCGGGACTGACGATGACGCAGTCCTCGACGTTCATGTTCTGTCTGATCCACTGGAGGACACTCGGCTCGGCGTACAGATTGTCGACGGGGATATTGAAGAATCCCTGGATCTGCGAGGCGTGAAGATCCATCGTGATGACGTGGTTCTATGTTGCGCCGTGGGTCAGCCTCTCTGCACTTCGACCCTCCTCCCTGCCCCCGCAAGAACTCTAGACTTACGCAGCCGGAAACCTGCAACATGTTCGCGACAAGCTTGGCGCTGATCGGAGCACGACTCTTGTCCTTCTTATCCTGTCTAGCGTAAGGAAAGCAAGCTGTATTTGAATCTCCAGTCAGCGAGCGTTCCTTCGCAACAATGCGACATCCCTATAGATCGTTCGGATACGGGGTTGGGTTGACTGACGGATAACGGCGGTGATTCGGCGGGCCGACGCGGTTCTGCAGGCGTGGATCATGATGAGAAGCTCCATGAGTCCGTCGTTGATGTTGCCGGGCTCGCTGGACTGGACGATGAAGACATCCTCGTCGCGGACGCTCTCGCCAACGGTGACACAGTAGAGAAGTCAGCTTTTACAGGCCACTCAACGACCGGAGACTGCCGGGGTTCGAGGGATTGTTCGCTAACCTCGTCTCTTGGTTGGAGTAGTTCAAGCTGTAAAGGTGCAAAGCAAAAAGCGGTCAATTATACTGTTCTCCAAAGAAAGTCGCGCCCGCGCCCGGAGGGCAGGTCTCGGGGAGAGGCGAAAGCTTACCTCATGGTCTTCGCAAGGGGAATGCCCAGTCTGCAATATTCGCAACCATACGTCAGCGACCGCTACTTCTTGCCCATTCCTCTATGCCACGGAGGATCATACCGCTGGGCGACCTTCTCGGACAATTCCCCATGGCTGCTGCCCTTGAGGAGCTTGATGTCGTTTGCCATATCCCCCATGAGGCCGGTCGATGTGTGACGACGAGGGGAGAAAAAAGGAAAGAAGGATTTCGAGGAGGGGCAATCGGCCGACTATAAAGGGGTTGCTGCTGTTGCTGCGGCACCTTGCTGAGGTTTGGCAGGCTAAGGTACGGTCGGGGTCGTCTGGACGAATCGAATCGCAGCGCGGGGTCACGATGGAGGGGTATGGCTATCGGTCGGTTGGTTTGGTAGTGTCACACACACTATGGTCGAGGTCGAGTAGAGAGGCTTTTTTGGTGGTGATATGCGGTTGAGTGAGACAGCGGGATTGCCGTTTACGTGGGGTTGCAAGAGCAAAGAATCTGTGAACAGCTTTCACTGTGAGTAATGGCCGGGTCGGGTCTATCGTGTGCCTGTCCACTTGAGTATTCGCACCGGCTGGGATCGGAGTAGACTGCTTGGGAAAAAAAGTACGAAAAAAAAAACTAGTGCTTTGTCGGCATTGTTCCGCAATCCCTGAGAGGTCAACATTATGTGGAGAAAGGCATGGATCCGTCCTCGGCTCTTGCTTTACTCTCTCAAGGCCTCTGTATTAGCTACGTACCTTGCCTGATCCCTTGGCAAATGCGATTAGCCAACATACCTACTCAAAGAACAATGCTTCTTTCTACTGTGTAGCGACCAGAGTACCTTTTGAATTAGACTCAGCCATCTTGATGATAGAACTCGAAGTGGATCGAGGATCGGACCATCACCTGTCATGGCTGCAATGCATGGCCCGGATGCATCAGTTTCGTGCTGTCTATGGTCGAGTCTGCCAATTACCTGTCGAACATTTCTATCTTGGCCCACACCCTAAAACCCAAGAGCAAGCCATGGAACCAAGACAGAATGTTCATTTGGATTTTCCACTTTGGTATTCATGTGTTCATTATCATCTGACGAGCTTCGAATTGGATACTCTACATACTGGACCTCCATACCATCATCAGCCAGCTGAAGTTCCAAGCGGCCTGCACTCCGCAAAGAACCCACCGACGACTCGTAATATGAAGGCCTCAGAATCGAAAGAGGATGAACGCAAGCAGACCTGACCTGGTACTTCCTAGGCCAAGGCCGAGAGAGTCGCCATAAGTATGTACATGTGGTTCGGCATCTATTCACAATGCCCTCCCACTCAAAAATCACGCCCGTCACCTCCATTCCAATGTCCTGTGTCGCCTACCATCCATAATGCAAATGCTGACGTGACCGCAAAACTGTCTATGTTTGCTCGCTCCCTTCTTATGCAAAGCCGAAGTAGTCGCTTCCTGCTGTGATGGCCTTCATGAGTTGTTGACGAAGCATCTCATAATTCTCGTATTCAGGGAGATCAAGTTCTGTGACAATTGGTTAGTGGATGCATCTCAAACTTGGTTCCGAGGGATAACGTACGGTTGAAGCATGTGTGCGAACTGGGGAGGCGCTCCTTGTTGCCATAGTCTCGATGGATGTTGAAGCGGTTGATACCATTCATACCCTCCAGCTCCTTGAATCCATTGAGAGGCACCTTACTGGTTCCAGTCACGAACTGCAACAGCTTGGCGCGCTCCTCCTTGTCGAATGAACGGATCGCTCGCCAGAACCATTGGATCTGCGGTGATGACGGAGTGTAGTTGTGGTATTCCGTGTTGCTCTTCCAGTCGTCAACGTCAATGTCGGGCAAGCCGGAGATGAGAAGTTCCAACTCCTGCTCGTTGAAAATGGAGATGAGATCCGCGGGAATGATATCATGGAATCCTAGTACAATAGTTAGCAAAATGACTTCTTTTTCCAGTCTTGCTTAGGTGATCTGACTTACCCTTCAAGAAGTGTTCCATCTGTTCCTTAACAGATGACAGCAGCTTGTGCTCCACTACCAATCTCACGTAGTCATGCTTGTTCTCCTCGGTGACGGCGATGTCACGACCGCTGGGGCAAAGGTCAACAGTACGAGTCACGCCAAACTCATCGTCCTCCACCGAGAACGTCTCTGTGATGATGTCCGTGATGTCATTGTCGAGCATCCACACCAAAGACTTGTAGTAATCCGGATCGAAAGATTCCATGTCCTTGACGGATACCGACTTGCCGAGAATACGCTTGTACACAGCGCGGCTGAAGTAACAGTCGAGAACCCGACCCTCATACAAGGCCTTTCCGATGATGCGGCCAATGAACTTGAAGAACATGAGATGCTCGTCGTTGATGCCACTCAACTTGTTGGGGTGGAATGTGGTACGGTCAGAGGAGACCGGAATGAAGAGGGCATAGTTGGCATCGAACATTTGCCTGGACAAGACCTGGAACCACTCGCGGGTTACACCTCCGGCGTCGACACCTTCCTCGTTGTGGAAGCGAATGTTGAGCTTGCCATACTTCATCTCGTCGCCAGTCTTGAAGTAAAGCGACTTGAAGGAGTCGTGGAACACATGCTCGCGACGCACCGAGAGTTGCAACGCAGGGAACGACGGCCGTTGATTGTTACTGGAACGGCTGTGAACACTGCGGTTGAAGTAATTGCGCTTGTTGTCGAACTCGAGAACCTTTGGATTCTTGACTAGAAGCGAAAATGTTCCGGACATGAGCTTGGGGCTGTTGCGAACCAGCTCATTGAGGATGCGACGGTGATCCTCGGTGAAGGTGAAGAAAAGGCCGGCCATGCGATTCTCTGGAGGCGGGCTTGATAGCAACATCTCCTTGCTTGTCTGGT